AGCAGGGGGGTTGGGCTCAATCTTTCAAGGTCCTTCCAGCCCTTCCTTTCTATGATTTCTATTATTCTGTCTGTGGACAGAAGAACATCTTTGGGTGGTGCGGCGGACCTGTATGGCAGCCATCAGGGGAGGTGGCCCCGTGCAGCTTGTCCCTGCTCTGGGCCCAAAACAGCCGGCTCACTTTGCAGCCTTTAAATACAGCTCTCTCCTGTGGTGTTTCTCTGGTTGCCAGTGACTGAAACCATCAAGGTTAATACTCCCTTAAACCAGAGTGGTGTGTGTGTGTGTGTGTGTGTGTGTGTGTGTGTGTGTGTGTGTGTGTGTGTGTGTGTGCGCGCGCGCGCACGCACATGCATGTGCATGCACACATGCATACACTTTTCTCTCTCTCTCCCTCCCTCTCCCCATCTTATTTTGTGTGTGTATCTATATATCCATATATGTATATATATGTATGTGTGTGTGCATCTATATCTATATATATAGAGAGAGAGAGAGAGATATCTATATCTCCATATATCTATCCATATATCTATATATCTACATATATAGAGAGAGAGAGAAATATCTCTCCATAGAGAGAGAAATATCTCTCTCTATATATATGTAGATATATAGATATATGGATAGATATATGGAGATATAGATACACACACACACACACACACACACACACACACACACACACTTAAAATGAGAGAGGGAGGGAGGGAGAGAGAAAAGTGTGTGCATGTGTGCATGGGCATTTCTTTTAAAGTGCACAGGCTGGTTCTATGTGGCGTGTGTGTGTGTACACACACACACACCCCAAAGTACTTTGACTCATGAATAGTTTGCCCTTAGGAAGAGCCTGATGCAGGCGAACACATCCCATATGTCAGACCTCGGTTGCAGTGTTTATTAGCAGCAGCCGGTGCTCGATGCTCTCCTCGTATGATGGAAAGGGCTGCCTAAGCACTCCTTCCTTGGCTGCCTTTGCTGACAGGGAGCAAGGCCATCTCTGCTGTGTGACGAGCACCCCCAGTCCATTCCTGCGCGTGCTTTGGACCACCGCACAGACCGCGTAGCTTGGCCACCTAGTCCTCCAACACCTATTTAGTTCCCTGGCTACCGCCGCAGTGGCTAGCCCGGGCTGTCAAAAGCAGCAGAGGCACGAGCTTCGTATGCTCCTCTCACCCCTGCGCTGTGACTGCTTTGTGCTGAGACACTTTAGCTCTTGCTCTGAAATCCAGGAGGGAAAGCATGGGTGCCCCAACCCGCTCCGAGCCCAGACTTAAGCAAGGACTTCAGGCGGAGTGCTTAATGGCTTGACCATGCATTTCTTCACTCCAATACAAATAAAAAATAGGTATTAGCTAAAATAATGTAGCACACATATGCAGTAGCTAATGCACTGTCGGTTGAACTTGCTAAGCATGGGCGCAGCCAGCTATTCCTCTAGGAGGTCATGTTCTTAAAAGTGAAGGATATGCTTATGTATGTAGTTGCAGTAGGGCACCAGCCCTGCACCCCCACCCCATTAATACCCGGGTTTTTTTGTTACTTTTAATCACTGAGGGTGATGGCCCTGCTGTTCTAGATCTCATGCCCAGGGCAGCAGCAGTAAAACACAGGCGGCACTGCTGGTACCATTCATAATAAAGGCTTTCCTCACCTCCTGGCCCCATCCTTGTGTGGGCTAAACAAGGAGGATGGATGTGTGCTATTCAGCTGAGGGTAATGATCAACAGTGCTGCTTGCAGACAGGCTGCAGTCAGGAAACCGCTCGGCGTTGCTGCTGCCGCCGCTGAAATTGGGCTTATTTCAAGGTTACAAAGAAAGAGAGAGGAGAGAAAGGGGGAGTGGGGGGGACAGCTTGCAGGTACAGCTCAGGAGAGCTCCTCTTTTAATGGCATGTGCCGCCGTTCGTGTTCAGCATCGCAGCCGCGTTCATTGGCATTGTATCTAGGGAAGGGGCAGGTAAAAAGAGCTTCTGCATGAGCAGAGGGAATTGCCGAGGGAGTGCGAGATCAGACCCATGCGCCTTGTTGAGCAGCTGGCCGGCATGATCCTGCTGCAGGGTCGCTCTCACTTGTCCCAGTCCGGCTTGTTATCGTGAACAAGAAAGCAAAGGAGCATCGGGGATGAAGACCATTGTCACAGCGTTTCTGTTTCCACTCCTCTCCCCCTTTCATCCTCCTGTTGTAGCAGGAGAGTAGCCGGCCTTTGACAGCAAGCACTGGATTAGGAAGGCCCCTGCTCTCCCGAGGCTGCCAAATGCAGCCGCTCCATGGGAGCTGCTCGCTCTGGAGTCGCTCGGCTTTTTAAGAGGGAGACGCACAATGTAAACGCTGCTGTGGTTTCGCTCCTGATCTGAACCTCTGGTCCTGAACGCAGCCAGCCCTTGAGCTGCAAATTACTGTCCATACGCTGTCATCAGCTGGTGGCGCGGTGTCGTGTGCTGCTGGACCGTTCTTAATTGGATGCTAGACGTTACATTTTCCTTATCAACAGAGCTAACTATGGACAAAGTAATTGTGTGTGTGTGTGGGGGGGGGGTGTTTAGAAATCTTCTAAAATACAGTGCCTCTCCTTTTCTGAGAGCGAAGTGAGTTATCAATGAATTAAATAGTCACTGATTAACATGAAGGAAAAAGGAGGAGATGGCTTGCTGTATATCTTTTGTTGAAGCACTTCCAAGTCAGAGCGGGGTTCGTATTCTTTTTCTGTCTCCTACGTGGAGACAGCAGGGCAAAAGCACTGTTAAAATACTGCCTCTTCCTCCGAAAGGATGATTTGAGGCACTGGCTCCAGCCATTTCAAGCTGATGACTCATTGAAGCGCAACCTCTAGTTTCCTGTGATTATTTAAAAAAAAAAAAATCCCCCAAATTACTGTCACAATTTATTTCTTGTGATACTATAGACCTGACACGCCACGAGCTCACTTCATGCACATGAACGACTCCCCTGCAGCCCCTGGCACTTCATGTACAAGGATGACAAGTGCAATTAAACCGAAGATCTTTATGAAGACTAGGCTGGCATTTTACCATAGCCACGACTACCATAGAGCAACATCGCAGCAATGGGTCCTTTGTAAACCCCTCGCTGTTACGCTAGAGGAAGTGGGTTTTTTTGGTCAAATCTGGTTTTTGTTTCTTTTTTTAACATGAAAAAGTTCACGCTACATCTAACGAAACCTCCTAGAGCTCCCTGGTGGGTACCCTCAAAAGTGTGAGGGGCCTGTGTGCAATTCCTGGGAAGTCAAATGCATGGCAGCCCAAAGAGCAGCCCGGTGAATAAGCTATTTGGGGTGGGCGTTCATGCCCCCGGACAGTGCAGCAGCTCCGCTTTGCTTCGACTAACGAACGATTCTTTCAGCAGGCGCAAAGATGTGTCAATGTCCTTGTGATTAGGATGTTCATAAGGAAGGGAAGAGCCCGGCGTGCCCATCTGATGCCTCTTTCTGATGTGCAACCGAATTGCCCAGGTCCTGGGCAAGCCCTTGAGCAACTGAGCTATTGGAGAAAAGGGTGGCACTGCTGTTGCCACACCTGCCTCCTTGTCCCCCAGGTTTTAAAAGATGGGTGGGGGGGCTTCTGTAGAGCTGCATGACTGTGGCATGGCCGAGATGCCCCTGGGCCTGCACGGCTGCAGACCCTCAGGCATCTGTAGACCAACGCTGAAGGACCTGTAGTTTTAGCACCTCCACGGTGAGTTAGTAGCTGAACTTGTTTCTTGTTCTGGGCCAAAATGCTGCCGGCTCATTGACTCCAGCCCAAGCATATGCTGAGAGGCAATATTACAACCAAGGTGCCTGCCTTGTGTTTTAGCCCTGATGTCCGATAGAGTCAGGCCATTGTAAATGAAGGTAAGGCTCCCTCTTTGGCTGATGGCACCTTGCAAGGGCTTGGTGTTGGAGACTGGGTCTCTTCTAGCTAGGCCAAGCTTCAAGGAGAGCCAGCCTGTAATAGGCAAGTGCTAATAAAAGGTTGCATGTAAATAACTGAGACTCAAAGAGGGAGCTACCCTAAACTACCTGCCCAGCAGGTGGTTGGTCAGAGACCCTCTACTCTCCGTGCCCTGGCTTGGAAGTTTTAATGGGCCTTTCTTTTTTAGCAGCTTGGGGTGAGATCTTCCCAGGGGACTTGGCCATGGTGACACTCAGCATTGCCCCACACACACTTTGAGATGAACATGTCCGATGCGTGAGCTCCCGCTACTTGAAATGGGACAACTGCGCATGCAGTGGCTTAGCTGCCGAATTCAGAGAGACCAAGGCTTGTGATTCCCTGCATTTCCCCAGGGATGTCCTGCAACCTGAGCTGCAGCCTCATATTTGGGCTTGTTTGCTCTCCTTCCAGCCCTGTCTGTCTTGCATTGCTTGCTACCTAAGGTCAATAGGCTCAGCTCAGCCCAGCTCAGCCTATAGGTTGGGGGAGATGTGGGCCAAGGAGTGCCCGCAAGCCCTGCTCCCCACTTCCTGGGCTCTAACCGTATCTTCCAGCCATGTTTTCAGCCAGAAAAGGCTGCAAGGGCTGAACTCCCTGCTGTCGGTACACATTGGCAATCCTAGAGGATGGGGCCTCTCTGGGCGTGGGCTCAGCCAGGGTAGCAGCATCCCTAGGCACTAACTGAAGCTGAACAGTAGGTACTTATGCTGGTTGTGTGGTGCTGGGGGACTCCTGGCTACCTACATGGGTTTAAGCAGGGTTTTCATCGATCGCTGTTATGGACGGAGGCTGCCGAGCTTCTCGGCAAATACCCTGCTTTATCAAGCCAGTCGGGTCAAGAATTCTTCATTGAAAGCTTACTCATTGTTTCCCAAGATTTTGCTCCCCGTGCCATTTCACAGGTTGCAAATGAGCTTACTCTTGTTAAGGTTTCTAGGGCTACTGTTCCCTAATTGGAGCCCCAAGGGTTGTCAGATATGTCCTTTAACTGTTGAGGATCGAGTGATCTTGCATGAACAGATGTGCGTTTCAGCACCACAGATACTGATGTGCGACTCTCTTACAGGAACATTTTACCCCCGAATGCAAGTTCAAAGAATCAGTATTTGAAAACTACTATGTGACATACTCTTCAATGATCTACAGACAGCAACAGTCTGGCAGGGGTTGGTACCTGGGTCTTAACAAAGAAGGCGAAATCATGAAAGGAAACCACGTGAAGAAAAACAAACCCGCCGCGCACTTTCTTCCCAAACCATTAAAAGGTAACGTTTTTTCCTTTTCTCTCAGCTTCCATGAGCTAATATTTTATTGCACCAAAAATATTGAATTGCCACAAGTATCTGTTTTAAGGGTTGAACCATTTGCGTAAAGGGAATATGGCATCACTTATCCAACCATTAATGTAATCAGGTCTGGGGTGGGGTAGCTTTGACTGCTTCCTCTGCTGTGTGATTCACTTTGTGCCTCCAGCTATATGTTAACTCTCGTGCCTATACCACCCAGTGCGGCCATTACATTTAATGAAGATTTCACCTGGAAAGTCCTAACCGCTGGCCCACTGATGACCAGTAAATCTGTGAATTGCATTAATTGTTTTGTTTCATGGAGCTTAGGAAGAGGGCTGATTTTGGCTTGTGTGCATTGGTTAACATTCTCTCTCTACTGCTGTTGAATACTATACACAATGTATGGGGGGAGACAGAAGATGCTTTGCAGAGAAGCTAGGTTTACTTAAGTGACCTGTTAAGGTAAGTAACTTATTGGAAAACAGAGGAGATCTCCAAGAAGCATTACCAGATGGATGTATATGCCATTTTTACACTAACTTTGCAGCCTGTATTTAAAACCAGGTTTTCACCCGTTGCGCCCATAGTGCCTCAAAAAACCAAGGTGCAATAAGTGCACCCATTGCACCTCAGAAAACCAAGATGCAATAAGTGCACCCACTGCACTCAAAAAACCAATGTGCACTAAGTGCACCCATTGCACCTCAAAAACCAAGGTGCAATAAGTGTACCCATTGCACCTCAGAAAACCAAGATGCAATAAGTGCACCCACTGCACCTCAAAAAACCAATGTGCACTAAGTGCACCCATTGCACCTCAAAAACCAAGGTGCAATAAGTGTACCCATTGCACCTCAAAAAAACAAGGTGCAATAAGTGCACCCATTGCACCTCAGAAAACCAAGGTGCAATAAGTGCATCCCAGAAAACCAAGGTGCAATAAATGCACCCATTGTGCCTCAAAAACCCAAGGTGCAATAAATGCACCTATTGCGCCTCAGAAAACCAAGATGCAATAAGTGCAGCCCATAAAACCAAGGTGCAATAAGTGCACCCACTGCACCTCAAAAACCAAGGTGCAAAAAGTGTACCCACTGCGCCTCAAAAAAACAAGGTGCAATAAGTGCACCCATTGCATCTCAAAAAAACCAAGGTGCAATAAATGCACCCATTGCACCTCAGAAAACCAAGGTGCAATAAGTGCACCCATTGTGCCTCAAAAAGCCAAGGTTCAAGAAGTGCCATTGCACCTCAAAAAACCAGGGTGCAATAAGTGTACCCATTGCACCTCAGAAAACTAAGCCTGGTTGTGCATGTAAATGGGGGAAATAGGAAAGTTAAAGGTCCATTTTCTCATTTGCTTGTCTAGACCATTTGTGCAAATGGAGGACCAGATCAGCAGGCTCTCACTGAAGTCAGCAGGGCTCTGCTGATTTACAGAAGCGGAGGGTCAAGGCCACTGAGTCTCTTGAACTTCAGTAGTTCAACATGTATTTTAGCTGGTGCATCAGTTGTTCCCATCTCTAAAATCTTACTGTGAACCTTTGAAATTCTCTTTGCATAAGTCAGTCAAGTGTTGGCAAATGGAAAAAGAACCTCTCGAGCACATGTATCCAGGTAATGCATGCATTTCTGTTACAAAACCTGTGTTGTTTATTACTTTCTAGATGCCATTTGGAGCTATAGACTTCCATACACCCTGGCACAAATTGTATGTCAACTGTGCTGATGTGCTGCTTTCTCTTTCTGCTTTTCAGTGGCCATGTACAAAGAGCCTTCTCTCCACGATCTCACAGAGTTTTCAAGATCTGGGAGCGGGACCCCGACAAAAAGCAGAAGTGTTTCGGGAGTGTTAAACGGGGGTAAATCCATGAGCCAGAACGAATCGACGTAGCCAGGTTCAGGCAAGCCAAGTGCTCTGTCAAAGGAAACTTACCTCGGGATGCAGTTGAATTCTTACTAGCAGTCTTTCATCCAAAAGTTCAGTCGTCAGGACAAGCCACCGAACTTGCATAGATCACTTGTTTTATCAGCCATTAGATCTTCTGGTTGTCAAAGGATATATCCCAATAATGTAGAAGATGCTTGTGCATATCATGAGGCACTTGAATAGCCAGCAAAACATACCTGCGGAATAACTCTCGGAGAAGAATTGTCCAGCTCTCTCTTTCTCTCTCTCTCTTTCTCTCTCTATGCTTTGTGGAAAACTAAACTAAACATTTTGCAGCATTCACTGCTGATAAGAATTTGCTTTCCAACTAAGAAAAAAAAAAAAAAAAAAAGACCACTTTTGCTCTTCAAAGGAAATTTTAATGCTTATATGTTTTATAGGGGCAAACACAAATAATGTAAACTCTGTTGTTTTCTTGGCTTACCGTTTTATATCTAAGGCTTGATAAAAAAAAAAATGTGTCCTTTAATTTGGAATAGTGCAACTTTCTGCGTTCTGAACTCCAATGGGTCTTTAAAGCTGTATCTTTCAAAACATAATCGATTCAGGGTTGGAACTGAGAGTCGGTGTCTCAGCCTCAAGCAAACAGTGTTCTTGTGATTTTAAACACAACGAAATATAAAATTTTTATAGATTTGTAGTATTCTGGTCAAGTTCTTGTGCTGACCCCAGTCTGTAGGAATTGAATTGTTTTATTAACCCGAGTCAGTGGAAGATAACACACAGGGAGAAGACTATCCCCCAATGTAGCTTTCTCTTAATTCCATTTTGTGTGTCATGTTAAACTATTGTCGTGGCTTCTTTTCTAAAGACAGAAACTGTGGAATTAAGGTGACTTAATTTTTTTACGAGAAACGTCTTATTTGTAAAAGTCCTTCTTTCACTGTAATGGGCACGTGAATATTGTGTAGGAGGAAGCGTTAGGATCGGTTACCCCTAAACAACGTATACTTATACATGCTATTGGGAAGGGAAAAAAAAAAAATCGTTTAAAAAATTTAGTTAGGTTTCCATTTAGGTCATCGTATCTGTTGCATGGGAGAAAGTTGGAATATGGGCCTAGAGTTGCATGACGTGTAAGATTTTGTGCGTTAATCATCGTTGGATTCTGTGCTCCAAAACTGACATCGTTCTGTGCAAGCAGGTTTCTGCCTTGTGCAAGAGTTGTTATATTATTTGTTGTATACACACCCATGCACTGAATAAACTATTTATATTAAGATGTACTTTTTAAAAAAGTTTGCTGATTTATTATGTGATGGAGAGCCTCAATTTTGCTGGGGGCGGGGGAGATGATATGTGCATATGATGAGCGTTATTACATGTTTTATGTCGAATGTTAAGTATTTTTAAGTATCGTTTTATGCGAGGGGGTTTGCCTCTGTAAAGCCAAGCCCTATCAAGTGCTTCCACTTGGGATGCTTTCTGGATCCATTCTTTTCTATCCAGCCGAAACGGCAAACTAATTAGCGGTGCATCACCCGATAAGCTCCCCTGCTGGACTCTCCCAAGACGGCTGTGTTTGGGACCCACCCTATAAGCCCCATATCCTTTTAGCTTCCCTGGGTTGCAGAAGACTCTTGCTTCTCTGGCCCATTTCTTTGGTGAGAGGATTTGCACACCCAAATCTATTCAATGAGTCTAGAGAGGCCACCCACCCAACACAGACGTGGTTACAGTCTCACACAAATACTGCCCATTCCCAACAAGCGTCTCCCGTGAGAATTTAACTCCCCGAGGCCTGCTGACATGCTATTCAAGATTAAAACAAGACGTATTAATACTTCAGACCTATCAGTCATACATATCGATAATCTCTCTCACCTTCTCCCCACTCAGGAACCCTAATACTCTTCGGATGAACTACAGCAACCCTCTGAAAACTAGGGACATGGGGCAAAAATACAGGGGTATTATAACATTTCAGGGACATGCTTCTGCATTTTCAATTTCAAAGCAAATAAAGTTGACCGCTTTTGGGGAGTTGTATATTGCTTCTCATTGATTTCTCTATCAAATTTACTCAGGTGCATGCAAATACATTGGTTCGAGGTCCAGCCACCTACTCATCCATTTTTGGCTGTATTTCAGCTACATTTATGTCCTTCCCTGCACCTGGGAAAAACACTCCACTGGCTTTGGGGGCACTCAGCTTTTTACTTCCCCTTCCTGAAGTGTCCCCCTAGTTTCTACCACTGACATCAGCCTCTGACTGTGTTCAATAGACCAACCACCAGCGTTTCAGCTGCTGGGGCTTTGGGGCAGCCGTGGATTGAAAATCTTCCAAATGAAGAGGCAAATTTGGAAGCAGAGAGAGAAAAGTAAGACTTTTCTCAGAGGTGGCAGATGACAGGACAAGGAGCAATGGGCTCAAGTTGCAGCAAGGGAAGTTGAGGTTGGCTATTAGGAAGAATTTTCCCACTAGGAGGGTGGTGAAGCACTGGGACAGGTTACCCAGAGAGGTGGTGCAGTCTCCATCCTTGGAAGTTTTTAAGACCCAGCTAGACAAAGCCTTGGCTGGGATGATGTAGTTGGGGCTGATCCTGCTTGGAGCAGGGGGTTGGACTGGATGTGACCTCCTGCAGTCCCCTCCAACCCTTGTTTTCTATGAGTCTATGATAACGAGAACTTAGCAGCTTCATCTAGAAATTGAGGACCGCTGCTAAATTACCTGTGAAGCTCCCTCCACTGAGGACTTGCTCCCTACTATGCAGTTTGGCTTATCCAGACAAAGCTTCCTCAATTGTTTGAGAGCTGCTCCTTGCTCATGCCGATCGGTCTATAAAACATGCTTATAAGCGCCATCCAAGTCTAGTTAGTTAAGGCTCTCCCCTGCAGAATAAGCAGCTGTGTGCTGAGCACTGAAAACTGGATTTAAGGTTCAATTGCTCTTCAAAGTCAGTCGGAGCAGGGTGCCTAACCTGCTTAGCCAGTCTGGCAACTCCCAAGGGCCCTCTCTGCAAAGAGATGCTTTTGCAAACCTGGCCTGAAAAAGCAATACACTGACTTGTAATGCATGTAAAGGACAAAAGGTATCTGCCTCCCCAAACCACACGGCCTTCTCGTTGTCTTTTAAAAGGCACAGTCCAGCCCTCTGTACTAGGAAGCCTGTCTCACACTACCTGAGGACTAAAGGCCCAGTTGCATCTCACAGCACATCATACTGGTGTGAGCCACTATCACATCCAGCTGCCTTTCATTGTCATGACCAGGTACCTGCTGTTAACACCTGGGACACCTGGATGTGGCCTTTTATAAAAGGCCCAGAGCCCAACTTGAACTCATCTGCCTCTGGAGGTCATATAATAGGCCACCTTAATCATATTGCCATCAGCATGCAAAAAAGGAGCCATCAAGCAGGTAACACGCACAGAAACCAGGCAGTAAAACACCTCCCATGTAGAGGGTTTTTTTTAAACCCATTTTGTTGCCTAGAAAAATGCAACTGAATGGACATAAATAAAGTGATTATGAAAGTTAATACAATTGAGGTGAGACATCTATCCTATAATCACTGCTAAGTGCACAGCTCAGTGCATTACTCAAGGCATTAGTTAGTTGAAAGCTGGTAGCATCATGTGGACTAAAAAGAAAGTGTATGCCATTGGGCCTGGGGATGGCGTCCATTTAGTCGGGTAGCATCAGGGACCTTGTCTTTCTGACATTATCAAATGCAGTTGTACCTTAGAGGACCCCCTCCATCTCTGCCCTCTGCTCTGCATAACCCACTGTTTTGGGGTTATTTTTAATGCAGTTAAGCAGGGTTGGTTTATTTTTTTCCCCCAAAAAAGTGAGCTCTCTGCTTGCTTAACTGAGCAGCTGACTTTTCAAGCAGCTCAGACCCTTGGGGGGCCCAGCATTGTGTTAAAAAAAAAATTGCTCATAAAAGGTCACAGTAGGACTGCAATACCTGAGAGCTAGCCCCGGGCACTTGTGAGTGTCTCACCCTGACAGCAGGATTTTTCAACAGTGACTAACTGACTAATTTAGAAGCAGTAGCTTCCCCCCAAAAACCAACGGGGACTTTGGACTTGCTGTATATTAAATATGAGTGACATCCATCAAGGCAGGGGGATTTTTCCCCCCCTTTGCTGAACAGCTGAAGCGGCAGGTCTGAACTACTACTAAAAAGTGTGAAATCAGATTATTTTCAGATCATAAACTTTCTTAATTGGCAACCCTGACAAAATAAACCCTCAGGAGGATTCCCAGGCGGCTCGCGAGCCTTCGTTTCTCTGACTTAAGAGCAAATAACAGGCCTGAAGGCTCCTGCGATCAGGCATGCCCAAGCCGAGAGGAGGACCTCTCCAGAGGTGTAGCTTTCAGAGCAGGTAAGCTGAGCGTGCGTGCATGCACGTGTGTGTTCACAACCTGCTTTGAGTCTTTGCTCAGTAACGCTGGTTCCTTTACAAGGGCCAGGTGTTTTGTTTAGAAGGGAAGAAAATACACTTTGAGGTCTCCAAGACATGAGCAAAAGGAGAATCTCCATAAGCTGCTTAGTCAACCAGACAAGGCCCTTATCTCGTATGCTGGGGGTGGGATTTCAAAGGATCCCTCAATTGGAGTGGGGCACAGAGGTCCTGCCGGCTCTCTGGAGAAACCCCAGCTGCCAACAAGCCACAATCGAGCCAGAAGCTGCTGCAGATCATGCAACGTGACACATGCACGTCTGCTAATCTTACCTGTCCAGTCGCTTGTCTTCTGGCTGCATCCCAAGCCCTGTCTTGCATCTCACTGGGATCTACTGGGATCGAAAACCTTCCAAGCCAGGGCTGCTGTATCTGTCCGTGACGTCCTTCGGTCTCTTCTTGGGCCTGCAGGGCACACAGCATGTGTTGAAGGCAGGAGAGATGAATATTGCTCTTGCTTTAAAGTGTGCATAGGGGAGAAGGACTTACCACTCAGGGGCATGCACCAGCTGAGCCAGTGTAATTCTTCCATCTGTCTGCTACTACCCCAGGGATAAATCACAAGGGTTTACCCCCGAACGAAACAGGTGGTACATCATTGCATTTTAGTGCCTGCTCCCTTTGGGACAGCACAGATGAGCAAAACAGTTATGGTAGAGTCAACCCTAAGTCTTGCCCCTTCCCCTGCCCACTCCACCTGCAGATGCAAAACTGGTTTAAATTGTTAAAGGGGCCCAAAGAAATCCCCTCCCCTCCCCTCTTTCAAAGCCACACCCGTGGGCTTTGCCCAGGTGAAAGATTTCATTCCAAAATTTCCCTCATCCCCCAGGCTCCTACTTTTGTGCCTGGGCAACGTTTTTCCCAAACACACTTGGCCCCTAAATCCCATTTCTGAATACGAGTTGGGCAATGGCAGGCAGTGCGAATCAGGCTCCGTCTGTTCCCAAGCTCGCTTCTGTCTGAGACGCTCCTGGACATCTCACTCCAGGTCATTTGGGGGCTTTTGAAAATGTGCATGCCATCACTATGATGCATTGAAACACAGCCCAGGTCTTCTCGAAGATCACCACCCTGTTTCCTTACTTAATTGAAATTCTTCCCTTAAGTGTACTCTCAAGAGAGCTTCAAGGTGAAATGTTTGCCATCATTTAATAGCCAGGGATGGCAAAGTTTGGGGTTGAGCGGCCTTGATCCAGAACCTGCTGTGAGCCTCGGTGGAAGAGCCCCGGCACGCCGTCTATACTAGGGTCTGAGCGCTGGTACATCTGTGTCCCTGCTAGCACTCGCTGAAATGCAGGTGCATAAGTTTTTCTACAACCAAAAAAAAAATGCCCTCCTTGCCAATCACGGTTGACTGGTCTAGTATAGACGCAACCCACAATTTCACAGCGGGAGAGCAATTTCTCAGTGGGAAAATGTCATCAGTGTTTTTAATCAAAATCTCGCAGTTCAGCTACATAAGCTGGGGGAGCGGTGATTATTCATTTAAGACCTTTTTTTTTTTGCCTGGCTTCCATTAGCACCTGCTTACCAAGAGCCCTGGTTAAAAATAGCTCCATCGAGGCAGGTCCGAGCAGGGAGAGCGTTGCTCCCGGGAGTTCAGCATCTCTGGTGTTGGTGACACTGAGGGCCCTCGTGTAGACAGGCCCGGGCGGCTGCCAGTCTCTGCAAGTGTGCCCGTGTCTGACCCTGATTGGAGCATCCCTGGACAGCACCGTGGTCCAACTGAGGTGCTGATAACCTATGCAACACTTGCCAGCTTGTACGTCTTTCACCGCTAAGTATTTAGTGCAATCTGCTGCGGGCAGCGCCAGAAG